TGGCACACGAGCATAATTGTTTCGAAATTCTGTCTGGATCTCCAATTAGACATTCAAACCTGAGCGCATGACAGTCTTAATCAAGTTTCTGGCATCCAAAATTAACCACTACATGCGGCGTCGTTTTCGCAACTTTGTGATATCTATTTCGGAACTTCAAATCAGACGCCAAACAGATGGCAAAACACGATGAATAAACTCTGTCAGTTATTTTAAAAGTGGGGTCAACCTTGTCACAATTTCGTAATGAAAGAATAGCGCAGAAGATTTAAGAGCACACTATAGCATCCATTGATATGCATGTACACGGCGAAGTCGTGATTGACCATCACGGACACAGATCATGCTGCTTAAGGTCGCCGTTTGCCTAGATCGTGCTGCAGGATCCGATACCGTCTCACCGACGTGTTCGACAGCCACGGACCAAAGGAGATGAAGGAACCGGCAGGGAAGTGATCACGCGCATCGACACATGCACACCGAGGCTCCGAGATCGGCCGTGAACTGCGTGTGCTGGTGGGCGCACAGGGGCTCTTCACTCGATGGCCAGAATAAACAGATCTGGAAAGTTAAGCAGGAAATTATACCAAAGTTTAGGTGTTATGCTGAAAATAACGGAGTCCTTCAAGCCATACCCATCCTTCCACCGACACTCGTCGTCACTAGCATCTGCTGCGTTCTGGAGTTCGATTTTGTGGTACGCGTCAAGCCATTTGAACCGGAGAGCCTCACAGTCAATCTTCAGTTTTTTTCTTTTCTCTATTTCCTTTTTCAGGTTGTGGAGTAAGGTCAGACAACGGCCGTTTAGTAGTCTGAAATGAAAAAATGCCGCTGAAATCATTTTAGTAGACACGTTTAGCTGACTAGATAATTGACTAGGCAACAGCGGGAAGGTAGCAGCACAGCAGGCGCGGACAAACGCAGCTTTAAGTGTTTTGGAACATTTCACAAGAAATTACTTCGTGTTGGGATTCCTTGCTAGACAATTTGGAGGAAAATCGGAGCATAATTTTAGAAGAAGAAGAAGAAGAAACATAACCCAACAGGGAAAGCGAATAGGACATTGCATTGGTGCGGGTTAACATTCGTGACAAAATTAGGCGGATTAGGAGGTTTAAAGAACATGCGATTTTGAAGTTAAGGGAGTAGGAAAAAGGCCTGACCACTCAATATGTAATTACGAAAACGATAGCCTCACAAAAAAATTACTTCGGGAAAGTGGAAGGGGAAACGCTGCCTGGACGTGGCATCTCGGCTTTTGTTAGTCACGACAACAGCACTGCTAGTTTGTCAATAATAAACTTGACTTCATAGGAACAAGGGTCATAAGAACGAAGCACTTATAGTGAGAATATAAACTTAGTACTGCTTCGCGTCTACTGATTTAGAGACATTTTACAATTCAGGGAGACCCCAATGTACATTATTGCTTATTATGACCACCGTCATGACTAAGT